CCTTGGGGCGTCGAGTCAGTCGGCAGCTCGCTCGGCTGCGCGCAACAATCAGTATTTCAGCGATTCTACTACTACAAGCTAGAACTCTCTAGAAACTGCAACTAAAACTTAACCTAGAGTCAAGAGCGGGCGGCGCGATCGATAGCGCGGCGAGTCAGCGAGTGGCAGTCAGCAGCAGCCACCAGTGAGCGGCGAGGCAGCAGCAGGCGAGTCAGTCAGGCAGCCGCCATCAGCGAGCACATACATGTTACATGCTGGCGGGTAATCATCGCCGTGAGTGCCCTCTGTCTAGTTAGTTATAGTTTTGCACTAGCCACCATTTACCTCATTCTTAATAATTGCTTTACAGTTAGATCTTAATTGGTTTCGATATTCCAGGGGTTATTACATGTCGTTAATGGTACGTAGGTTTATGATTGCAGGACTACCACGTATTTTTTTATGCATTTTACGTTGTTTTTTTCGAAATTAGAATTGGTTATACCTGTTCAATAGTCATGTTATTTTATCAATTCATATCATATATGTTCATCATCCTATCATATCATATTATATTTATAGGTATAATATACATGGAATCTTCTCATATGTTATATCATCAAGTGTTATTATGTGCGTATCGGCAAGCTGGTTACATAGGTGGTGCAAGTCGTTCTGTGTGAGTCGGTGTTGGGTGTTTCTAAGCTGGGGGCCACGCGATTTTATCGCCCGATCGCGGCGATTAAACATCGCCAGCGAATTTATACGCCCGATCACGAAGGGGCACACCGTAGCGAATTTGAGAGCGTACGCGTACGCCACTCGACGGAATCACATGATCACATGATGCATCACATGATATCAACACACGTCCGATTGGTTTAAATAAAAATCGAACGGCTCGACAAAATACGCGCGGACACGGGCACACGAGCGAATTTTGCCAGTAAATAATCGCCGGCCGTAAATAATCGGCCGAAATATCTAACATTTTGACGGGCGATTAAAATCGGCGTCGACGTGAACGCGGCACACGGGCGAATTTTTCGGAGCGATTTTAAAAATTCGCGCGCGCGATCGGCGATAAATACGCTCGTGTGCCGCCTACCATTATGTGTCTAGGACTAGGTCCACATGATGCTCCATATTCTGTAGATCATCAATGCCTCAAGATGTGGTCGCGGGGACTCATAGTCATACATATGTATATGCAGCTTCGATAATGTATTGCTTGTGAGCTTGCTGTGTCTATTTTTGTCAGGTGGTGCCACTGTATAAGTTTTTTTTCTGCTTACTTGTCAACAACCTTGGTCTATTTTTACCATCCGTATCTTTGTATGTTGTGTTCCAATTTTTGGTCCTGGACTAGGTGTTAGTGGTGTAGGTGTTGGTGTAGTAGGTGATGGTATTTGTTTATTGACTGTAGTTGCAGCAATCGTTTCTTCGGATTGGTCACACTGCGTGGGTGCGACATTGGTGAAAGGTTGTGTGCTTTCATTGTGTTCGTAGGGTTACAAGCAGTTGGCAACAGTCTTGCGGCGACAATCTGCTTGCATCCAAATACCTCGCGACTCTCACCTCCCTCTCAAACTAAGAAACGTCATGCCTTTTAACCCATCGTACTACACTTTGCGCACATCTAGTGTCGCGTATCTTTCCGGATGCACATTTGCTAACTGGCAAAGTGGTTGTTCTATATTGCAGCTAGTCGTTTTACACGCCATCGTCCTTAGGGGGCGTCTGTCTAGACGGGTGGCTATCTGATTCGACTTGCTGTAATCACCTGAAGTCAGGTAAGCGGTTTGTCGTCTACGTATGTGTGCAGAGGAGGTACACGCGTAAAAATGCATAAACACACGAGAAATATATTGTCCCCGTATAGCATATGCTGTTGTAATCCATAAAGCAGGTGGAAATGTCTAAATATGGGCATTTGAAGGAAGGTAGGTTAATTTTTAATGGACATCAACACATTTAATCGATTAGGAATGCTACATATATATATATATATATATATGTTTGCTTATCGATACATGACCGATTTAGTTTTCCGTGTAGTAAAGTAGTGTGTCTTTTAACATTGATTTGCCTTGGCTAACATTTGCATCGTGTTATAGACTTATAGATTAATTCGCTAGTG